TATATGAACCGATTAAGTGAATAGGTCTCTATTAAATACCAAATAAAAACAGACAACACTGTTATGTTGTTTATTACTCAAGTCCTGAACATATTTCTTTACGAAATTGGTCTAGATATATTTTTTATCGAAATGCACTTACTATGACATATTTTAAGTGAATCTTAAGACTTAAAAGTTATAATTTGGTCAATAAATATAATTACAATCGCCGTTTGACTTTTATTAGCGAATATTTTGCGGTACCTACCATTTTAATTTTGTTTGTCACGAAAAAAAAAATTTGCTGAGGCAATATCTTTCTATTTGTATTTCTGTTAATGCTTTTCGACCGATACATTTATATTCTCGATGAAAAGGTATATTTTTTTCAATTATGCAGAGGAATAACATCATTTATATTTAGGAGTACTGTAGAAAATGGCGAAGTCGCGGGTTTTCATAATAATTAAAATTTTGTTCTAATTTCATACCATGTTTTTGTGTATGTAAAAATTTAAACATAAAGAAGAAACTGCTCTTATCCTTATAATTGTAATAACTTTCTTCGAAACAAATTGGGGTTTATATTTATTAGCCAGCTTGATGTTGCCACATTTTGGACAACATTACATCGTGATGGCCATCTACCCTCGCTATCCCGAAGTTTAAGGGTAAAACCCATTAAATGTACATACACCACGAAGCACAGAACTCCAGGCTCTACCCTCAAGAGGCTCATCTCATTTAAATACCATATTTACCTGTATAATTTTCTTTAATGGTCATATGTATGTATATGATCCTTGTTATCATGAATGAAAATTGTTACAAATCACAGCAGTAACGTGTAATTTTTACTAACTAGCCCTTTTTTAATCCGTACGGTTAAAATATGCAATATTGGCATTCTGTTAACTATTTTTAGAAGCAATATTTACGAACGCTGATAACGGGGATCTAGATAACGAACAGACATAAAAAATTATTCCTGCGCCTCCTTAGATGAGGCTTTTAACATTTTCAAAGCGAGCTGTAACCGTCTGGGTAACGGGGCATTCTTGCAAAAACTACCCCATTAAGAGATATATCCAAGGAAAGTATGAACAAATCTCTAAACCTGGAAGCGTTTGCATTTGAATGGGTGACATTTGAGACTTCGAGGTATAGGATGGGGGCTTTATTTAAGGATAGGGGATGATTTACATAGTCGCATCTAAGGGTTTTACGTTTCCGCGTAAATATTTTTATTCATTAGAAGATTCGTTGTCTGGTGTATTTACTTAGGCAATTTTTCTTGTATAGAGTAAAAGATCTTTGTAATTCCTCTATTTAGAGATGATTTAGAAGGGATATTAGCAGCGAGTGAGATATAATCCGAAGTTTGTATCCACATTTGTCCACCATATAATTTATTGCTTGCACACAACTGTTACAGTTATAGCAGCTAGCTGCTACTGGTGTTTGGCGTAGAAATTTTCCCGTTGCTCACGGACGCCCAAACTTTCTCCGTTCCAACATTTTTAACAGCAAAACTATTTGGAACTATTCCAGAACTACGTAGCTGATAGTCATCAGAAATTGTTTGTTGGCACTTTCGATCTTCTTCCCCGAATTTTACGAAGCTAAAGTCGATTTCTAAGCACCTTGATATTTAAAATTTGTTACAGCTACCTTAGTTTCTGCCTACCATATGTTTAAAACTGGATATGAAGCAACTAATTACTTATAAATTATTTTTAAAGTTCATAATACGAGTAAATAGTAAACATTTATTTTGTTTATAGAATAATTGTGGAGGGGTGAAAGAAAACAGAAGGGTTTTCCATTTCTCGTACAATTCCTGTACCACCGACAAACAAATATCCCTGCATTTGACTTTATCAACCTTCCAGTCAATGTACACAATTCGAAGCTAAATTAGAGCCTGTATTGTTGCACCGCACAATTCCAGCGGACACGGTCTACGGCTATCACCCCCCGATGATCGACTCAATCAAACAGCTGAGGTAACCGCAGCGTGGCTGGGGCTTCTGATATCCGACATCGTCGAGCACAAACACACAACCAGGTAATAAGCGGAGTTTTCGCGTTCGCAAATAGCATCCAATACCTTCCGATTACGGTGGGGTCGAGGATAAACGAGGACGAGTGTTAATTTGTCATTATAGTGCCATTGATTTCTATTCTGAACAAATATTGGCGGTGACAGACAATTCAGTTGAATCACCAAGTGTCTTCCTCTCGTTTTTAACACCCATCGAATTCTGGATGAAGTAATAAGTGTCAATTGCAAACAAAAATGTTTCTGCTTTATTAATATTAACATCATTTCTTTTATAGCGTTCTAAATTGGTATTCTTATTTCATTGACTTCAGTAGGGTTCTATTTGTAGATTGTGTTTTTTTCTTATTCTTATTCTATTATTTTCTACCTCTAATAACTTCTTTTTCATTCCTTTTCCCTATTTTCGTGATTATTTCTTTCACTTGTCATTCTGTACTTCTTGTATATGTAATAATGATAATAATACTTTATTGGTATATTCTAGGTATTCCCTTGCAATCTTCCTTATTCTCAATCTCAATTATAATTGCTCCTATCAATTTGTCCGTCGCTTTTAAAATGCCAGCATTTTAAGTGATTTATTATCAAAATATAATGTATACGGGCTTCGATAAGTGATTGGCATGTTAATTTTATCTCCGTTATTAAAATCATCCCGTCTAACGCGAAAAATACTCAACGCAATTTATAACGATAATCACAATGACAAATCAGGTTGAAGGAGACAGAGACAAATGTTAATTTGCTATGATAGCGGTATTGATTACACCACTGAACAAATATTGACACAGGTAGGGACGGTGATTAAATGTAATCAAAACTTTGTTATTATTCCCCTAATACCGGCGGTGTTTTAGACGACGCTTTAAAGCGCCGTTAGAGCCGGACAACAATGTGTCCTTATATGAGTCCACAGTGAACCATTAATTTAGATAGGTACAGCTACAAGGACCTGATTGTTAACAAATATGGGAGATTGAAAACAATTAAAATGTATACATTAAATGAATTAAGATTACACCTGTGTAAAATACGAAATGTAGAAGTTCAGGTCAGTTAGAGGTCATTTTTTATTTTTCAGTTTGACACCCTGTATCTTTTTTATTATGCGACTTGTATAGGAATATCGGTATGTTAGGTTAAATCGACTTATTTTCACCCAAGGAATCTCTAATATCATTTGTATACCCCTCCATTTAAATACACCCTGTATATTTAACTTCCTCTAGTTATAAAATTAAAGATATGTCCTAAATATTAAAGTTTGCTCGTATATCCCCAAGATTTATGTACATTTTACGTCTGGGAATTTACAGCGTAACATTCTGGTTTCTTAGACATAATTCATTTGCACAAAGTTATTATAAAGTTACGAAACAGTTATAATAGGGAATTAGAATTAATTATTTATGTTTATTCATTTACGCAATAATATAAACGCTGCATCCTATGTTATTGATCATTACTTCAACAAATGTAAACCAATATAATCAATAATCAACCATAACGAAGGGGAGAGTTTAATTACTGCCATTTAAAAAATAATGATTTATGAGTATCTTTCCGTAAAAAAATATATATTTTCTTACTAGCTCTCCCATTTTTTCGAAAAAATAGCTCGCAATACGTTAAATACTTTTTAATAAGGTTTTTAAAGACAATATAAGTTAAAATATAATCTCCTGTTTCATATATCACGTATCTCCTTACTCTTTACCTTGAAGGAGTATAGGTACTTTACAACAAGGACTAATTTCCGTATACATGGAATTTCTTGCAAGACAACTTGGATAGAATAAGCATATCATCCCCCAGTTGAGTTATAAATAGCTGGTTCCCTTATTTTACACCATTTTGGGATCCCATTGTATTTATACCACCAATCGTACCCAATTCCTGTGAGAGAATGCAGTGAATTAATTACAGGGATATTTACCGTTTAATTTAGATTCTGGATTCCAAGGATACGGGTGGACGTTCCATCGTCCTGTAATTTTACAGCAGCTTTTGATTCGCGTTGTTTGAGTTGAGGTTGACTCAGGGGAATGATCATTGTTCAGCGGTGCAGCGGAGTGCAATTTTTAATTCGCCTCTAAATGAAGGGTTTGTGCGGTATATTAAAAACAGTAGGGTGGAGTGTAACAATGAAACCGGTTTCTACAGGTTAAATCTATTAAAAAAAGTGTAATTCATAATTTGGTACTAGTAATAATGTTTTCTATAGACAATAACGAGTGTACTAAGTTAGCTAGTCATTACTGTTTAAAGTGGATGTAGCTACAAGGAATGCGCTATGTTCGTAACTGCAGATATTTGATTCGTACCTATGTATATTTTTAATATGAAATAGTAGTGAATTATTTCTTTTTCGATTTGTTATCATATCAGTAATAATTCTACATGCAAACTAAGTAGATTATTGTTAATATTCAATAAAATCATATAAAATTGTTGTATAGTTTCTTTGAAATTTTCTATCAGGTGTTACATTTTATGTGCTCTGTCTTCATCATTTATTTCCAATGTTCTATTTCCGAAATAATAATTATGTTTTAGAAAATTGTATATAGCGAACGTTGCGAACATAGCTAACATAGCTCGCTGTGTAACACTAGCTTTAGACAATTTGTGAATAACGCAATATTATAATAGTATGGTTTTGTTTTAACATTCCATAAATGAAAAAATGTATACAACTACTGTACCCTATACAGATAAAGCAAATAAATCTTCTCTACTAAAAATACCTGTAAAACTACAAAGCTGTTAAAAAATAACATGTTTCCAATTCCAGTACAAATCCAATAGACAAATACATACAAACACAAGCGTTTTATCAATATCAGCATAAACTCAACAACAAACCATTAAAATGTATTGATTTACTTCATGTAACAATTAATTACAACAGTATTGTTTTATGCTAAAGCCATAACTGCAAACTAGAACTTACCAGATTTTGTAAAAAAACCTACAACAAACATAAACAATTATTTTACCTAATGATATATAAGTCTGGTACTAGTTTAAACTTAATAATATTTATTTTTAACATAGTTTTCCTTTCACTTCCTTTGATAACAAACAATTTTATGACCAAGGCATTGTTACTTTATTATATAAACCACTCTTACTGTGTATACCACAAGATTATACTATGTAATATCCAATTAAGGGGAGAGGGACATGTCATCCACAAAATTTAAATTACGTTACTTCTCATCCAGAATTCAGAACTTGAAATGCATTATATATAACGAATAAAGGACCAAGGAATAAAGGACTTTTGTGTGGGATAAAATCTTTACCATTCCGTATATAACTTAATGGGTACTGCAGCACACGCTAGCAATTTTTTTAATTCACTTTTTAAATTACGTTGTTGTATCTCGGAAAAGGGATATCAAAGAGGAAGGAAACCTACGCAGATTATACTCATATCTGAGCGAACAAATGAACAAGGACTGCGATACAAAAGGACTTAGCATTACTAGTTTTGTACCAAGTCAGTCGTACACACTTGTCTACAAAAGTGAATTTTTGTATTTATTCTTGCTTGCCAAGAAGTTCGGTCAATGTTCTGCATCAGTGAATGCGAAAAGACTCTACAGCGGGACAAAATTATACAAACTTATAATATTAATAATTATATAAACCAGTAAATTTTACACTATCATGATTAAATAAATGTAGCATAGCTATAATGTAGTATTCTTTGTAGCTCTAGCATTATATAAAGTGCTATGTCGAGATTAAAATACCCCGTTCTCATCAGTAAATTGGTGTTCACTGTTCCATTTGAGATAATTTAGACAATTTTAAGAATTCTTGTAATAACATCCGCTGAGAGCGTTCAATTTGTATTAATGCAGATTCCGTCTCAGGAGGCATCGAATTTACGAAAAACTAAAGCAACGCCACTCTTAGCTGAGTATTAACGCTGAAATATTTACGTGCGATGTAGCGTACATTGTAGTATAAGTAAGTTAATACGCAAGGGACCCTACATAATTTAGCGTTTAATAGCATCTGCAAGACGCCAGCTGGCGAACTGTGAAAATCATTAATTAAGTTAATAAAGTTGAAGTAATGGACCCAGAAATACACATGTGCTGGGATTCTTTCAGCGTTTGAGATTTCCCGAATCTCCGGAAGTTAGGTTTATTAGATTATTACGAGGGGAGAGTGCGATACAGCGATAATTGTTAGTAATTAATGGCAGGTCGACAAAATGAGCTCAGTTAGCGGAAAAATGTGTTTAGTTTGTGGGTTAAATATACATTTTCATAGTTCTTGTTATGAACTATTTAATATTGTGCGTAATATTTACCTGTAAACATAAAATAAACGGCTGCAAAACGGCGTTAAAAATGAATAATGTTTTAAAGCTTATTGAGAACCATTGGAAGCGTCCCCGAGTTAGATACTACATACCTATAAAGAGGTGAATAGTTATAGCCGTAGATAGTGCGGAATTCAACTTTTGTTCCGTTCTTTTCTTGCAGTACATATGATGAAAACTGTAATTTAACTACTCTTATTTAAACAGAGCTATCGGAGCTACCGATGAAGTCAGCAGTTCTAATAATGTTTCTTCGTATTATTGTATAAGTATTAAATTGGCATATTTTAAATATTTTTTTTTGCAAATAATATAAGTTTCTCACTTCAATTTATTTACTCTTCGAATATCCCCTCCAAGTTTGTACACCTTGTATATTGAATTAAACAAAAATTATTACGCATTTTGCAGAGAATAAGATTCCAGAGATATAATCTACATATTTTCCAGAGTTCTGTTAATCATTTATTCATACTTTAATTTTCAATTCAGTGTTCATAAATGTCGAACCGCCCCAATTATTAATAAAATCCATTGTCGCCATTTCCAATACATTTAGCTGTAGAGGGAAACATTTTTTTGGCCTCTTCATTTATACTTCATCGAAAGGTTTATCCGCTCATATAATATTGAAAATTTCAATTGAATTGTACGTAGATTATCGTTCAACTGCGTTATCAAAACATCGTTAATTTAGATTGAATACGCGATAATAAATAAAAATGCTAGTCGCCTTTTCACATATTGCCTTAGAATAACAATATGGTAAAAAACCTTTTTTTTTGTATGAAACGTGAAAAAATTTGGCGGGTATCTGAGACAATTGTGCCATCTGTTAATAGAAAGTTTAATTAGAATCTGACAGCACTGTTTTCCTCAATGGATATATAATGATAATATTCAATTTGTCTATAAGTACAATCATACACAGTACGATTTGTCTGTTCAAAAAGCGCCCGCGAGCGCGTGGATGTGTGGAATCCTTTAAACAACGAATGTTTCCACACAGGAGACAACTTCCTTCTGCATGTAGCAAACACTACAATCACGTGTTCAAATTATTATGCACGGTAGAATATCACTGTTATTATTCGAAATAAAGTGAATCACGACAGTGAACGACGTTTGACATACCAAGCGTAATTTTCCTTATTAAAATGTTAACTCAGTATATAGCTGGGGGATATTTTAAAATCATCTTCCACTTCGATATAGCTCGGTGGTTTCTATAAACAGGGCCGTATTTCGCCACGGGGTATGAGATCGCGCTTTATTAACTGGAAATCCTGATAGCGAAAAATGAGCAAGAAAATTCATAATTTGTAAAATGTGCAAAATTAACAATTATAAATAATTAAGGCACCTTTACCCTTTTATTTATTTATTTTACTTTTTATACTTGCGTTAGCCAAAACGGTGGAAATTTATTATTGATTTTAAATAGAATTAGAAAAATAACTGTTAAACGTCTTTTGTATACTTATGACAAAAATATTAAGAAATATTTGAAACACCAAAGAAGTCCAAATAAAATCATTTACTAGTTTTTCTACATAAAGGTTATTTTATTATAACGTCATAGGAATCGCACTGAATAATGTAGAACTTGAAATAGCCATTTCCATAAAATTTTAATGAAAGCATCTTCGCTAGCGCCATTAAGTTTATACAGTCAGTTCCAGTTTGAAGTGCCGCTTTTATAAGGATATCATTCGCATTTAGTATCCTACAATCAAAGGTGCCCTGAGCGGCGAGCGATAAAACACTGACGGTTTATACGCTGTAAACAACAGCCGGTAGCGCCGCCAACTTTTGACATTTGATATGTTATTAAAATATATGACATCAAAGTACTTCACGGGGCGCTATAGTCCTTTATATAGACGCTATTTTCACTAGAGTTCATGCCAATAAAGAAGGAAGTACGAGTGAATGCCTGTTTTATATAACTAACCCAATGATATCTCGTTTAGATTGAATAGATTAAGTCAAACGTTTCGCACAAAGCAACCTCGTTTTGAAAACAGTAAAGGAATAATTTAATGGTACAATTAATAATATTAAAGGGAAGAGAGAAACATTATACCAGCAAGAGAAAATGGTTTACTAGATGAAAATATATAGTGTAACTCACTTAGAAAATATACATTCTCAATTTCCCCCTCATTGTTGACCGGTGAAAAGTTTGTTTTGATGTTGCTTATACTGGATCGCTGATATGTATGGAAACAGTCCATTATCTCCTAAAGTAAGATGACTTTTTGACTGATTCTGTATACTTAAATATTTCTATATTGTAAAAGATTTTAAAAACCCCTAAAACGTTTGCATCTTATGATTTTTCGATAGCGACCCTGTATTTTTTATGGACATTTCATCCATATAATTTACTTTAATTATGTAGATTCACATTAACTGCTAAGTTCAACAAACATTAAGTAATTAGATAAAAAAATACTCTAAAATTTCAGCCCTTTCAGCTTGTGTTTCAGTTTTTTTCTGTGTAATTAAATGAAAAGATTTAATAAACAGTAATTAAACTGCTTTATAGTCAACAAACAACCAAGATGAGTGGTGGAGTATTCTTACCAACTAAAAGTTTGTTCACTTTACTCTCTCGTCAAGGCAATGGCGGTTATCGTAAAGGAACTAAGACTTTTTTGCACTTTCTAGCTTTAAACTTTAGAAAATTTTGCCCTCTCGCAAAATGCTTAACTTCAACATTTCCTACCTACAATATCTTCAAAGAGATCCTCTACTACAAGTAGCGGATATACAGCAAAATTTTATATTTTATATAATGCTCTATTTTGGTTGTACAACTTAATTTAAACTGGTTTGTGCCATAATAATTATTTGTCCACCAGAAACAAACCCAAATACAGGACTTTAGTAGAAATAATTCATATAAATAATAATAATTTCAAAGTTTTCCGAGAAAAGCAAGAAAAATATCTGCTGTTTTGCATATGCTCAAACTCAGGGACTGCTTTGTATCGTTCTCTGTCAAGTATCAACGTCTCTTTGTATGTTTCAGATCGATTTCAATTTACTTGAATTCAGATATCAGAATATTAATTTTATTTTCGAGTAGCTTCACCTTTGAAAACTTGATTCTGCCAAGATACAAATTGCGAAAAGAATTTATATAGAATTTTAGCCATTCAGGACTTATGATACACGGAAATAATAAGTAGTTCGTCAATTGGACTGTAAAATAAATTGGGAGCGGATTTATGCAGTTTACAAGAAAAACATTGCCATGAATTGGTAGTGGACTGGAAGCTTTAATATATCACATTGCATTTGATTATAATACTTTGCAACTATTTATTACGCTGTGTATTTATGGTATAATGGATGCTGTTTCTTAAACATAATTAGGCATAGTATTAATTAGTATTAAAGGTAAAATTCGCTTGTCGAGAAGTTGCAAAGGTTTCATCTTTTTGGGTTTTGTTGGGAGAAGATTGTCCCTCCATATCAATACTCACAGAGTACACTTTTAAGGCTAATCAAATAAAAAAACTGCAGGGATTTAGATCAGGTGAACGAGGTGGCCACTGAATTGAAGCATCACATCCTCTGCTATTACAACTGAAGTACGATGGTATTCCGTTGTTCATAAA